TCATCATATAATAGTATATTAGAACATGTTAATGTAAATATGATTGAATCTTCGACTTCTTTTCTCCCAATGTGGTATACTATGTAGGATCGATACCGACACGGGACACGTGACACGACACGATACGACACTCCGACACGTTAATTTTAAAAAATGTTAGATTTTGACACGTTAGGACACGTTTTGATATTAAATAATATTTTTAATTTATGTAGTGTATATTGTATTTAATATTCAATAATTTAACAAAAAAATGAAGTTAAACTTATAATACCCATCAATTTTGCAAAGAAATATAAAATATCCCAATATTTATATTAAACTCAATAAAATGGTAATCGTAATCCAACGAATCTAGTAGTTGAAACTAAAAATGCAGCTTACCAAAAAAAAAAAAACAACTAAAAATGCAACTCAACGTAACCTTTGAACTATCTTTTGAATTTCTACAACGTGTGTTGGAGTGTCGGAGAGTATCGGAAAGTGTCGGACACGACACGTCAGGATTTTTGAAGTGTCGGTGCTTCATAGGAGGTATATACTTAAGTTCTTATAATTTTAACTAATTAATTTCAAATTTATTATATATAATTATTATAATAATATTGTATAATTTAATGTTTAGAATGACATAATTTGTGTTTTACAAAAATTGTGCATTAATATCATGAACATAATTTATTTTTGGAAAAAGTTTACCAATGCCCTTGTAGTTTATTTCAGAATCACTTATATCCTTCTGGTTCTTTTTTATCACATATGCTCTAATGGTTTGCAAAATGACATGTTTTTTTTATCATATATGCTTCTGTGATTTTTTATTTTTTAGAAAACACAGGAACATATATGAAAAAAATCACAGGAACATAAATGATTATGAAGCAAACGCAAAAATTCAACAACCACTTAGCCAAAATCATAAAACTATTGCTATGTTGTTCAATAGAAACAAGGGACATTGATAAACTTTTCCATTTATTTTTTTGAATCCGTGATTTCCCACGCATATATTTATAAAATCGAATTATAGCTAATGAAAGCACGCGCCGCTCATCAATTTTAATTTTAAACTTCAACGGTGGATGTTATTGGATCATTTGGCAACTGTCTCAATCGAACTTCTCCTTTCGTGGAGAATATTTTCACTGCTCATAATATAACATGTACCTTATTTTTTGTTAAATGATTCTCTCACTTAAGCGATGTATTGGATTAGAATTTTAAAATATTTTTTTGATATAAAAAATCCTGCAGATTTTAAAAGATATTTTAGAATTTGAGAGACTTTAATGACTTTTTTAAAAGACTTTTTTTACAATCAAGATTTCATAAGATTGGATTTTAAAGGATTTTAATAAATTCTATAAGATTTGAAAGGACAATATGGATTTATAAGATTTTAAAAAATCATATGAATTTAACATTCAAAATTACAAGAGTCAATACAACAGGGAAATGTTATACTTACCACCTATTTTTGTTTACAACATTTTACAACCATATCTTAACCGTTGATTTCCGTCAATCAACGATTATCATTCATTGCAAATTAAATATTAATTAATGAGTTTGATTTGCGAAAGTAATAACCATTGATTGACGGAAATCAACGGTCAAGATATGGTTGTAAAATGTTGTAAACAAAAATAAGTTGTAAGTATAATCTTCCCCATAAAAAATAACAAAGAAATGCAATGAAATTAATAAAAAGTAAAATAAAACTTAATATAATTTTCTCAATCAGTAAAACATAATATAATTTTTAACAAACATTCAAAGTTACTAAACAATAGTTTTTCACATATCTAACGAGTTTGGTATCAAAGCTATACATATATAATTATAGGGATAGGATATTGTGACACCCAAGTTATGTTACACCCATGTGACACCCAGTCAATCTCACCGTTAGATCGCTTATGTTGATCCAACGGTTATATTTATTTCCATCTTTGTATGGTCATGATTTCCCAAATTTAAAGTGAAAGCATTAAATATGGGAAATAATAACCATACAAAGATAGAAATAAATATAAAATATTAAATTTGGAAAATCATGACCATACAAAGATGGAAATAAATATAACCATTGGATCAACATAAGCGATCTAACGGTGAGATTGACTGGGTGTCACATGGGTGTAACATAACTTGGGTGTCACAATATCCTATCCCATAATTATAAGACCCAATTTTTTTTTGGAAAAGTGTTTGTCATTTTAAATGACATAAAGTCATGTCATTTTAAGAGAGAGACAGACACATAATAATATTTTTATTTAAAATTTAAATTAAAAAAAATCACTCACTTTCTCTTTCTCATGATTTATGTTCGTCTGTGTCTATCTCTCTCCTAAAATGACATAACTTATGTCATTTAAAATGACAAACATCAAACCCATTTTTTTAATTATAAAAATAATTCTAAATTTGCATATAAAACAAAGTTCATGATAAAATTTCATTTGGAACTTTTACAATTGATCTTGAAAATCTTAGGGTTTTTGGAATTTTCTAACCATATGAATATGAAATTTTGGGTTTAATTACATGAAAGTTTAGAAAATTTCTCAAATTTTTTTGAATCGATATATTGAAACCTTAAATTGCTTTGAGCTTTTGAGAAACAAGCTTTTAGTTATCTATTGACACAAAAATTGTTTGAAATCATTTTCTATAGTGCATGAATTTCGTTCATGAATGTATTGTTACGAAATATAGGGTTCATATCATGAAAGTTTCAATCTTTCTTTAAATTGATATTGTTTTAATGATGTAAAATGAAAATTGTTTTAAGAGTTTTAGTTCCCCTGTTATTTTTTCACTGTTTTATGTTGTTTTTAATACAAAAATCACACGTTTTTGTGTCAAGAAAAATCGCGATCCATAGCTTGAAAAATCACTCTTTAAACTTCCAAAATTTCTCAAAAATGGCTCAAAAATATGTTATTTTTGAGATAGATTATATTAAAATCTCGTTGGTTTGTTGTTACTGGGTTGTTTTGTGATGAAAAGCGCTCAAAAATATGTTTTTTTTAGTTTTGACGAAGCTTCCATGGCGGAACCCAATTTCGAGCAGTCAACTTGACAAAGGAAGAAGAAAACACTGCAATAGAAGAATCTCAAGAAATTCTAGAGGTCGGGGTGAGATTGTGAGAGAGGCATCCTATTTATATTTTTCACTAAAAAGTCTCACGAAATTTACACAATAGAAAATCCATTAAAATCGTCGGATTTTTGAATATCACGAGATTGTGATTCCATTGTTTAAAATCCTGATTGAATACCAACGGATTTGGATGGATTCTAAAATAATCCTTTAAAATTCTAATCGAATACCACGTGAATTTTTTTCAATCCATTAAAATCCTAATCGAATACCTACGGATTTTTTTGTCCAAAAACAATCCATTAAAATTTTTTAAAATCTCAAAATTATTTATTAATAATTTAACAAAAATAAAACACGTATTATATGGTGAATGAAAAATGCATAAAAAACTCAATGTATGTATCGGTAGCGCCGAATTTTTTTTCCCTTTTGTGAATGGTACTGCTGCCTATTATTAGGTTATTCTTTCTATTTTCTTGGGATAACAATAATTATTAGGTTATTCTAATAGGACAATCTCAATTCTAGCCAGAGGTGCACATTTTAGAACAAGTTGCTTATTGTAGTGATGTACTTACACTCCTTTCAGGGTAACTAATGTCATATTTTAAAGTATGCCGCTAATTGCAGCAATGTACTTAAATTCCTTTCCAAGAAATTGTCATTTTATTACACTCATCACAGAAAAGAAAGTATAACTCATTTTATACAAATATCACATTAAATTTAAGTAATCTGCTAATGAGAGTACGTTAAGATACTAATTAAGAAAATAAAAGTAGAAAGTATTAAATAAAAAGAAAAATGCTATTAATTTTAGAGTTATAAAATAAACCTTTGGCGCTTATTTCTTTAAATAACTAAAACCATTTAACAAGATATATTAAATATATTACCAAAAAAAATATTAAATATATTTTTTCTAATTTCAAATATTGCCCGAATCTTTTCACCCTCTTCAACAATTATGAATTTTATAGGATATGAATCGAATCGAGTACCTTTTATTTTGACTATTTATAAAAAAGCATTTAATAAGATATTAAATATTTTTCAACAAGTATTTTAACGATGAGCTAGGATCCTCTGATATCAGTGTCAAATTTCAAATTTGATATCTCATTTGATAGCCGTTAGATCAAAAAAGATCAATGACGTCATATGTTTACAAATCAAAGTCGTTGATCTTTTTTGATCTAACGATTATCAGATGACATGTCAAATTTAAAATTTGATACTGATGTCAAATATCTTACCTCTTTAAAAATATTTATTCTAGCTATAATTTATAAAAAATAACAAAAATAAAAAGAAATTGCAGGTTGACTGGTTGACCCAAAAAGTGACGAGGCTCAAGAGGACCATATAAATTAGATTTCCGATTATCGCGGCAAAGAATTTCACTTGGGCAAATATTAGTTTAGAATTACGAAAATGGTAATAAAGGTTTTTGATGTCCTCTCTTTCTGTTTCGAGCAATGAATGCAAAGGCAAAATTTATTACGTTCGGCATGGTAGGTGGAAGTAGCTTCAATTGTCAGAAATTTGATTAAAAAAAAACTTCAAATTGAGAATTGAATTGAACCCATTAACTATGTTCTCCATTGGTTGTAGTCCATTAAATCCAATCTTAAATCATAGCACCTAAATTCTTGAAAGAATTTAGATGAATTCCAACAGGGGCAATAACTGGTCCTAACGATCAAGTCAAATATTGAGAATTAGAAACAGAAAAAAAGAGCAACTTCTTTTCCACGGAAAAGAAAAGCACATTTTTCACCCACTTTTACTTTAAAGGAAGCTTGACCTTTTTGGTCCCAAATCTACGACGTCATCATGCCGTGTCGTTTTGGACTTTCTGCCTCTTCCTTCCACAGCCACCATTTAACTGACAACACCAGCTCAGACTTTCAGACACAGTGGCAATTCCGTTATTTCCTCATCATGCTGTGTCGTTTCATCAAGGTGCATGCGTAGCACAGAATCACACCCTCCTGCCTCTATTACCTATTCACGACGCCTTCATTATACACACGCTCTCACACCCATCAACTAAAGCTTAGCCTTTTCCTTCTTCTCAGAAACCACCGTCACCAGGCGCCGAAAAACGACGGCGTTTTCTGCAACCGCTACTTTTTCCGATTCCATGTGTTTTCCATACTTAGCCGCCGCCGCCGTACGCCGCCTTATCTGACGGATGGGTTGCGTACTTGGGACGCCGGCAGATGCCGGAGCTCAGCGCCGTCGACGGAGCGGCCAGCGTAACGTTGGTTCTGATGGAGGTAGTAATGCCGTTGCGGTTCGGGAGAGGAAAAGGAATCCTCACACCGGCGATTTTCCGGGAAGTCTTCCGGCGCCGGAGCGCCGGAAACCTAGACTCGATCCGTGCGCGGTGACTCAACAGGGTTGGCCGTCTTGGTTGATGGCCGTCGCCGGCGACGCAATCGGCGATTGGACTCCTCGTCGCGCCAACACGTTCGAGAAGCTTGCTAAGGTGCTTCGATGGTTCCTTTACTCCATTTCCGAAACTGTTGCATCGCTCTTTTTTTTTATTATTAAAAAAAAATTGGATCTTTCTGAATCAGTGTTGTTTTATGTGTTGTTGTTGTTGTTGTTGTTCAGATTGGGCAAGGGACGTATAGCAATGTGTATAAGGCTAGAGACCTTCTTACGGGAAAGATTGTGGCTTTGAAGAAAGTTAGATTTGATAATTTGGAGCCAGAAAGTGTGAAGTTCATGGCAAGAGAGATACTTGTTTTGAGGAAGCTTGATCACCCCAATGTTGTAAAGCTTGAGGGCTTGGTTACTTCTAGAATGTCATGCAGTCTTTACTTGGTATTTGAGTATATGGAACATGATCTTGCTGGGCTTGCAGCTGGGCAAGGTGTTAAGTTCACTGAGCCTCAGGTACCACATTTTTAAGCAGGTGTTTGCTCCTTGTTAAGTGTGTTTTGCATATACTTTTGCTATGGTAAAAATTGGGCATAAGATAATTATAATTGGTTTGCATCCTCGGGTTTTGTAAATTTGTGGTATAGATGTGTTTCAGGTCGTAAATTTGTTGCCTTACTATGGTTAAGACTAAGAGTCCTTTCATTTGTTTCGCATTAATTTTCTTCTTGGAGTGTAGGCCTTTGATCTTGCTCTTAGAGCTCTGTATGCCATGTCGGATTCCGTGCACAATTCTAAGCTTTTTCAGTTTTGTATTTTTTTTTTTCTTCATGCTTTTATGATGCCCCAAGCTTTTCGTATGATGTTTTTAGTTTACCTTTTACTCTGAATGTCTGATGCTACTACTTTGAAGTTTCCTTTATCACATCTCTCTATAAAGTAAGGTTATTACTTAATTAGGAATTTTTTGCTTTCCACTCTGAAGGAACGAAATTTTACTTTTGGGAAAGAAGTCAACTGTTATATTTCAATAATATTAATATTTCATACATGTTGAGAAGCCTAGTAGCTTATTTGGTTGTTATGAAGACATTTGTATTTTTATTTCTAGCCTACCCGTAGTTTAAATGGAAAACATTGTTTAATACAGAGAAAGGGTGACTTGTCGTAGTATACAGTTGCAATGTGAATGTTAAATATAAAGGCTTATTACTTGCTTCATGGAGATTTTTACACTTTGTACTTGGGGGAAACGTGTGAAGCTGTGATGCATTTTTAATTATCAGTAAGACTAGAAAGAAGAAAGAGTTATCCATATTAAAAAGAAAAATGGAAAACTCATACTGAAAGGCTGATTTGTCTCTCAGTATTTCTCTATGACAGGTCAAATGCTTTATGAAGCAATTACTTTCTGGTCTTGAGCATTGCCACAGTCGAGGTGTATTGCACCGTGATATCAAGGGTTCCAATCTGCTTATTAACGATGAAGGAATCCTTAAAATTGCAGATTTTGGGCTGGCAACTTTCTTTGATCCTAAGCTAAAGCAGTCCATGACAAGCAGAGTTGTGACCCTTTGGTATCGTCCCCCTGAGCTTCTTCTTGGGGCAACATTTTATGGGGTTGGTATTGACCTTTGGAGTGCTGGTTGCATCTTGGCAGAGCTGCTTGCTGGAAAGCCAATCATGCCTGGCCGAACAGAGGTATTGCTCTTCGTCTTGTTTATAAGTGCTAATTGTATAAACTTAAGCTTGTAGGATACCAATTGTGATGCTTCTAGTGTGTTTGCAATTGTTTCAAGTATCAGTCTTGATGCAGAAGTTTGCTTCTGGTTCATCTTGATCCTTACCTAGGATCACTTCTAAAGCATTGTGTGCTGGCAGTATTCTTTTTCTGGCCATTTTATAGGAAGGCTCTCTTAGATACCAACCAAGTTGGGTAAGGTTGGGGCTTGCGTTAGGATGTGTCATCAACTTGATTAGTTTGTTTATGGTACTAACCTATCGTCTTGATATACCAGATGTGTAGTTTATCAACAAAAATACAGAAACCATATTACAGACAGAGACAGATTAAAGAGAAACAACAGAAAATGAGAACAGTTCAGTTTATCACCTGAAAGTGAAGTGTAATTAGTTTAGGTATCCTTCCTGTGTGAATACTGTACCCTTTGTAGCAAGCTTTAGGCAGTTCCTATGGTATTCAATTTATGTTATAAGATTTTTGTTTTGCCATGGTATTCAATTTATGTTATAATGTTTTTGTTTTGCAGTTAATTTGACCTTTTCACCTTTATCTGCATTCCAATATCTTTTATTTTTGCTCTCGGAATGTGTACTTTCAGGATGATATATGACTGACTTTTGAGTTGCTTTGGGCTAGGTTGAACAACTGCACAAAATATTTAAGCTGTGTGGTTCTCCATCTGAGGAATATTGGAAGAAATATAGATTGCCAAATGCTACAATCTTTAAGCCACAGCAGCCATATAGACGTTGCATCTCCGAAACATTCAAGGATTTTCCTCCTTCTTCACTACCTATAATTGAAACTCTTCTTGCAATAGATCCTGATGATCGTGGCACTGCCTCAGCTGCTCTAAATAGTGAAGTGAGTGATCACTGTGGATTAACCTTATATTTGAGATGTAACGCATTTCACATCTGTTTTTCTATCTGTAGTTCTTTACCACTGAGCCATATGCTTGTGAACCTTCGGGTTTGCCAAAGTATCCTCCCAGCAAAGAATTGGATGTGAAACTGAGAGATGAAGAAGCAAGAAGGTCCTCTTATTCTTTTCTTGTGTCTGATAACTTCTGATCTGATCTTGTCTCATTGATGGTTTTCATTTCATTCTCAGGCAAAAAGCTCTAAGCGGAAAAGCTAATGCTGTTGATGGTACCAAGAAAGTCAGAACACGTGAGCGTGGTCGGGCCATTCCAGCCCCCGAAGCCAATGCAGAGATCCAAACAAACTTAGATGTACGTCAGACATGTTGTTGTTATGTTTATTGTTGTCCTCATACTTGGCCTTGCTTAGTTATGCTGTGGTTGATTTTAATTTCCTGTTCATTCTAACCCAAGGTCGTATGCATGTAATACGTCTTCTTGAATATCTTAAGTACCCTATATTCTTGGACTAACATACACTTTCATGACTATATTAGGTCTGAGCTCCCTTTTGTACTCTACATGCTCAAACTGACATGAAATTTTGAGGAAACCTTGCCATTTGTGTGATTTGGCAATATTTATAAACTATACTACTGTCTGGGAATTTGGACCTAGTTTCTTTAGCATTTTTTACTTTGGATTCTCTGATGATGTCTACCCTGACATTTAAAATATTTTTTTGGTGATAGTTTTTTTTGTTCTTTAAGGACATAAAACTTCGTGAGAAATTTTGTTTGATCTGATGATACTTTCATGGTAAATTGAGCGCAACAGTGTCTTTAATGCTGCTACATGTGTTTTCTCACTGAATTCCAGAGGTGGAGAGTTGTGACCCATGCAAATGCAAAAAGCAAGAGTGAGAAATTTCCACCTCCTCATCAAGATGGAGCTGTTGGATATCCGCAGGAGGCATCAAATAAAGGACCCATTTCATTTGGCGCCACTGACACTTCTTTTGACTCAGGGATATTCATTTCAAAACCATCTGGACCTGTTAGAAGTCATGCTGCTGCAGGACTTTACAGAGGAACCAAAACTAGAAAAGAAGATTCCCAGATGGCCTCGTCATGGAAATTTATGCGTCCATTCAAGCCATCAACTATTGGTCTTTCAATGGATTTATTATTTAGGAGCAAATAATCTGTTCCTTTTGATTTTTGCATCCTAGAATGAGGAAAGGAATGATTTTGGCCCTGATATATCTTTTTTTGCATTTCCCGGTGTTTTTCAAAAACAAAAAAAAAAATTATTTATTTGGTGTTGCTCCTATTTTTTGTATTTCATTTGGCATAAAGTTGTTGCTGTATAATCTACAACGGGGATCCTTACATTTGTACATTTAGAGGATTAAATCCAGTGCTGTACAGTTTCTGTGATCACTGTCTTCATAACCTTGAAAATGTTCTTTTTTTTTCTTTTTGGTATAACCCGGAGATATTCCCATTAAATCTCCTCCGGTCACCTTGTCCTCGGAGTACGGCTCTGAAGGTTATCCCTTCATTGGAACAGCGGGTGCATTGAATTTCGTTACTGGAGGAAAGATGAGACTAATCTCCCCATTCGAGGAAGGAGACACATCCTCTGGTCTCCAAAGATTTTTCAAGAACTTGTGCTTGAGGCAGGGTTTGAATCGCTGACTCAAGCAAATCCTTGAAAACTCAGTTGCCAATTGAGTTACCATTGGAAGTTTGAAAATGTTCTTCAATTAGCAAGAGAACGATTAAAAGAATGTGTTATCATGCAGTGGGAGATCCAGACTTTTTTTTGGTGGGGGGCAAAGATAAATATTTTTATATTATAAACAAAAATAAATACAATAAAATATGAACCTAATTTAAAAAGCTTGAAAGAATTTTATTACAAGATTCAATGTCAGTTCATTGAAGTTTTACTTTACGTGTTTTCATTGTTAAAATCTTTTATAATTGAATTTGTCCTAAAATTTAGAACAATTTTTTTTAATATATTTAACTAAAGAATGATCAAGAATTTGGTTACTCTAAAGCAGTGTTTAAAAATTTGGTCCGACCATCGCCTCAACCGAGGTCAGGGGTTACGGAATCATGGGTTCAACCGGAGGGTTACGGGGTCACTTCGCTGACCTGTTTTTATACATTAAAAAAATATAAATATATATTCTATATGAAAAATTCAAAAAAAATCAAATCACCAATCATTGAATATTCAAAATATACTTAACACAATTCAACCAATTACATTAACAAATCAATATTCATAAGCTAATTAAACTATCAAAGTATAAAACACATATTCAAATGGAATTAATGAAAAGTTATATTATCAAACTTAGGTCCTTCTTGTTCGTCTCATGCACCTACAATAGTATGTGAAAGGAGATCTCTTACCCAATAAATAATAGCGGAGGAAAGGCGGTGACACGATAAATTAACGGTGAGGAAAGAAGAACCAGCACGGTGGAGGAGATCACCAGAATAGAAAGATTGAGTCTGAGTCAGGGAGAGAAGATCAAAAGAGAAGAAGAATAACGATTCAGATTTCAGATCTAGTTCTAAATCTAGGCATCAACAAGTTTTTATTTTTGTTTTGTTTTACACAAATGATGTCATATTGTGTATAATTTCTTTTAAAAAAAAATATGCAGTAACCCTTTTGACTCCTCTGACCCGGGAGTCAAGGGTTCAACCAGGGGGTTTCGGGGGTTAAAGGGGACAACGTGCAAGAAGGGTTTAACTACTAACTCGAATCCTCTGATATAGGGGGTCAGTGACCCGGAGAGATCAACCCCGGGATGGGCAAAATTTTAAAACACTGCTCTGAATTAAACACTTGGACAAATAGATTGTGGAAAAAGAACATAATGTATAAACCAACTCCTTAATTTCAATAAGCACATTTATTAAGTAACACGTGAACAGGGAGCACTTAAACACACCCTTGGTGATTTGATTGCAGTCAACACAATATATATATATATATATATATATATATATATATATATATATATATATATATATATATATTGCAATAATGAATATTTAATAATTTTATTTTTTATATAAAATCTTAAATAATAATTATTTCGATAAATGAAGTTTTCTGTGCTATACAATGATTGGTTTTGTGATATGAACAATAATCTAAAACATGATGTGAATTATTATTTACTATATAACACTAAAATTTATGTAACTTTTTATATAAAATAAAAATATATTTCTATTTATTGGTTTGTAGGCATTATAGTTAACACAAGAACAAGAGAAAGAATTTAGAATTCAATTGTCCCTCGAAGTGCAAATAAACTTTGAGGAAACTAGTAAGAAGCTATATGCACAAGCAATTCTCCACTTTTGGGAGCTATCACACACAAAAAAGTTCCAAATAGTTCAGCAAGTTATGAGTTATTGTATGATTTTGGTTATGTGGAAGGACAATTACTTGATAAGTCAAGTATTATCTAAAAATGTTGCCAGAAATATCGAGTGCGATCATGTCTTCTAAATTTTCCAATAGAGTAAGTACTTGGAGAATAATTTAGGCTGAGCATCTTGATGGCCTATAAATACCTCTTAAGGTTAACATTGTTACATATAATGCCTTTGAATGATATTATTTCATTTGCTAATTAAACATGACTTACTAGACTTACATTATCAAAATATCACATGCACGTAAATTAATGAATAAAAGTATAAGATTTTTATTTCTTTTTATACAAATATTAACTAATCGTGATATATATATATATATATATATATATATATATATATATATATATATATAGGAGGGATCTTTTGACTCTAGAGTAAGACTTATAACTCTTACTCTCTATCTCAACCGTTGATTTCCGTCCATCTAACAGTTATTATTTATTTGAAATAATTAATTAATTAATTAATTAATTGTTATAGATAACCGTTGGATGGACGGAAATCAACGGTTGAGATGAGGAGTAAAAATTGTAAGTCTTACTTTAGAGTCAAAAGATCTCTCCCCATATATATATATATATATATATATATATATATATATATATATATATATATATATATGAAGCATATTCTTTTTATACCAGTATAAGACTAACAAGTCTTACACCATATTTTAATCGTTGATAGACGGAAATCATCGGTTGGTATTTATAGTGTAGTTAATGATTAATTAACATTAATTAATTCATATGACTTCCTAAATTATAACCGTTGGATGCACGGAAATCAACGGTTGAGATGTGATGTAAGACTAATAAGTCTTAAATCGTGTAAAATAATCTTGATCATATATATATATATATATATATATATATATATATATATAGCATGCTTCAACTTTTTCAGAGTCAATATATTTTTATCTCAAGATTGAGCCGAATAACAACCCAATTCATCTTTTCTAATTTCACTTGGAGCTAAGCACAAGTAATATTTAGTGAGACCCAACCACCATGAGGAAATCCTACCAAACTTTGTAAAATCTTGTGTTATGGGTTTCTGCATAGTCCAAGTAAAAATTAAATGCAATTAATGTTAAACCAAATACTAAAACAAGTACAGTCGTAACTATCATAAGAATGTATACATCAAAAGATAAAAATTATACAATGAAATTTTATTTTGAAAATGTACAATGCAATATTAATTTTTTTACACCAATATTACTCCTTTATTTTTTCTTCTTTTATATTGTTCAAATAATAATGAAAAGGATTTATGAAATATATGAAGATTCACTCTCCAAGTCCATTCTATATATGTTTTAATTCAGATCTCGCTTTTTCAATCTCTATTTATATTTATTCCAAATGAGTTTTTTAAGATTTGCACATGCCCATTCTCATTTGATCGCCTTAACTAACCATCATGCTTTCAAATCTATTCAGGTATTAAAATCCTAAATCTCAGAACTTTTTATTCTTGTTTTTAATATTTTTTCGATTTTTTTTAATTTAGTTTTTCAGTTTTTGTAAATGCATTTGTTGGTATAGTTTTTTTGATTTTATCACATGTGTACCTTAACATACTTGATATGAGTACTTGTATATTGTTGTTATCCTTATTCAACTAATAGAACGATATCCTTATTTATTTTTTCCTTATAGTTTTTTATTTATTTAATTAATAAAATAAGATGTGAAAAGAAAGGATGAACTGAAAAGGGAATGAAATAAATTTTGCTTGTTTAGAAGATTAATAAGGAAATAATATACGATTTTCTCCCATTTCAGCCTAATTATGGGAAAAGCAAATTTTTTGTCTCTAAGGAGAAACCGTAAGAACTGATAGCTTGTTTCCCTCCTATTTATTTTTAAACTCTTAGACGAGAATTAATTTTCTTTCTTTTTTTTCTTCTAAATTCTTCTTATTTAATAGAGAAAGGAATGTTAACATTATTTTGTTTCAGCATACTTTTCATATCATTTTTTTATTATCATTTAAATTTTGGGTTCGTTTAATCTAAAGTTACTTTAGACTACTTTGTCTAATGTTTATCGAAACGACGTCGTTTTGGGTGGAAATCACGATGTATTTATAATTTTAATTTATTTCAGAGATATAATAGTTTTTATAATTCTAATTTTTAAATTTTTCAACCCAAAACAACGTCGTTTCGATAATCATAAGACAAAATTGTTTAAAGTAATATTAGATATATATTTTTCTTAATTTCATGTGGGTTTCAATTTATAAAAAATGAACATCAATTATTCAGTAGGATAAATACAAAAATCATATAATAATAAAAATTAGGCTAATTGACCCTTCTGCCCTGTTTTTAAAAATAATTATCACTTTTCTCCTCTTTTCAATTATATGATCCTCATATTTAATACATCTCAATACTCCTTTCTTCTCACATATTACACATATCTCACCTCATATTTAATAAATGCAACTATAAAAACAATAAGAATAATAAAATAGACTAAGTATTACAGGATTTTTTTAGTGAATGACTAATAATTAGTGCTAATAATTTATCATTATTAGATAAATATTATTATATATAATAGAAGAAGGATATACTTATTACCAAAAATTTTACCACCCTTACAACTAACTTAATCACTGTTGATTTTCGTCAATCTATTGCTTATATTTTATTGGAAATTATTGGGGTGTACTTATTAATTAATTATTAATAAATTTTTGATAAAATTTTTTGATGACCTATCAACGGTGATGACATTAGTTGTAAATGTGATAAATATTTTTGATGATAAATATATCCTGCTCTTATGTAATATTAAAATAGTTAAAATCTAGAAAGGAGTAATCGCGGACTGTCGTTCTCCGCCTGTGCAGTGTCACATATAATGTCACACTTTCCTTCTTTCAGTTTTTATTTGCGTACAGATTAGTAGGCTTGAGTAAAAT